GCAAAGGGGGCAACCCTCTTGTCCCTAGCCCTGGCGAAAAAAAGAGCTCTAGAAATAGAGATAGAGATAGATGCACAAGCACACACGCACACAAGCAGATAGCTCTTCATGACAGAATTTGGGCGGCCATACAAGTATTTTCTGTGATGCCGTCAGGGAGAGCCAATTGAGTGCCGGACTCAGCTACTTGTTCCACGGCTGGTGGAGATGCGTCCAGAACCTGAACTTGCGTACGTGTGCTTACTATGCTAGCATTTAATGTCTTGCATGAACAGAGCGGCAGCTGTGGGAATTCTGGAACTTCGAACATCTCAGGTTTGGACGCGGCTTCGCTAAGCGCAGCGGTAAAGGCCAGCGGTCGTAGCGCGGGCCCCGAACCTGCCACTTGCTAAATGGAATTGATGGACGGGCCCTAACCCCTAAACCCTAAACCGTAGTTCCACCAAGACTCGCCAAGCCATGCCTGCACTACCCAAGGCCTACGCTGGCAGCTGGCGCTCCAGGTCCTACGAACCGGGCAGGCAATAGCCCCAGAATTTCGGTGCTTGACGAAGCACATCTTTCGCGGTTTCGCGTGCAAGGTTTGTTTCCTTGGGAACAGTGCAGATTTCCGCACAGTTTCCATCAAATAGCGAACTTTAATTAAGCAAGGCACAGAAAGCACCGCCCATCACACCTGACAGCGAAGTAGAATGCAGAGTGCCATCTGAAGCTCCTGGAGCGATCGGAAGTTTCTGCAGTCTCGGATCAATCAGGTCATTGCTTATTGATGCATACCTACATAAACGTGCATGAACGTATTTGCCTACAGATAGACAGATAGCTGTGCGAAACGTGCCTTACATGAGCTGTTCTGGTGCTCTCAGCTTGTTCTCCCCTCGACCCTAAACCTAGACCCAAAAAACTAAATCCAAACCCCTCAATCCTAACCCTAAATCCTAAACCCTGGATGCCTGAATTGAGTATTGGCCGGATTCAGGTGCACATGGACGGGCCGGAACCGGACATGGTCTGAGGCCAAGGAAGTGCAATTCCACTACTGTTGCTATTGTGACTGGTAGTACTGTCATTATGCTTCAGTCTAACTTGGGTTTCTGAATTCGAGTACCCTTCTTCACCGTGACAGCGCAAGGATGTGATTACAAGATTACGATTCTTCTGCTCCCCTCCTTTTGGCATTGCATCACCATCCAGCTCCTGAGATTAAAGTTCCTCAGTATTATAGGATAAGTATAGTAGTAATTAGTAATGACTACACTTACACTACTTAGGACAATTCCACTCGGGGAGGCCTTCGGCTCCCATCGGGTTTCCTTGTGCACAGCTCTCTGGAAAGCATTTCACAACGACTGAGACAACGACTGAGGCGTTCTGTGCCGCAATTGGGGCTTGTGGTGGCTGTGGCCAGTGGGAGCTGGCCCTGCACCTGCTGACGGAGCTGGCTGCGAGAGGGTGGGGGGAAGGGGACGCTGTAGCAGGACAGGTTTGGGATGCCATAGCCAAGCCAAAGCCAAGCATTGGGAGCAGGCTGCGTGCCAATGAAGCCTCCTTGGGCGCTGTCCTTGACGGTTGCCAAAGAGCTCGCGCGGGGCCCGGCCCGTCCCTTCGAAAGGATATCATTCATCATTCATCATCATCGCCATGATCATCATGTTCTTACCATCAACCACCACCACCACCGCCACAACCAACCACCACCAACCACCACCAAC